AATGTTTAAGCATTATTTTAGGTTTTTTTTCATATTGTTGCAATATCGCAAGTGGTAGATGAGTTTTTTTTCCTATAAGTTCAAGGTTTTATACTCATTTATTTTTAAATTCACCCACATTGCAAAGATTTTATTTTCTAAATCAAAAGTATTCTGGCAGTTTTCTATATATGTAAGCTGTTATATTTCATTTTAACATGTGAAATTTTATTTTAAATGGTTAGATAACGCAAGGATTCTATCAAAATACCTTATCTAAGGTAATCTATACCACTCATTGGTGGTTAAATAGTTAATTAGTTTGAGAATTATGATTATTCTATTAATGGTGTAAATCACACCACTTATATATGTATGGTTTTCATAAAAATCCTACTGTTTTGATACACCATGCATTTCATAAATCAAATACTTAATGGTGTTGTATTTTTTCCATGCTAATGTGGCGGCATCAAAAATATTTTTTCCTGTATAAACTCAAAATTTTAGCCCATTGCCTTTTAAATTTACTCTCTTTCAAAAAGGAGTTCTTGTGTACACGTTCAAAATCTTGACTTCATTTACTATTAAAGTCACTCACCTCAAAGATCACTCTTGAGATCCAAAATACTCATTCGACAAATTTTAAACCCACTTTACATTTTTAGCAGCTCGTCATATGCGAGTTTCTATATTTTGTTATAACATTGTATATTTTCGTTCTAAATCTAACATCATACTATTTATTTTTAAACTTACTCATTTCCAAAGACACTTTTAAACACAAAATACTCAATATTTTTTTAATTTATTTTGTATCTCAACGTTTGGTATACATTGTGAGTCATTATAATTTTTTTTAAATGATTAGCTACAATGTATTTTTTAACTAAAATTTTGGCCCATAATTTTTTTGGTTCTTCACCTCTAAGCCAAAGTTCCCCTCCATTTTTGAGCCCACTCATATTCATAGTTAATTTTCTAATTGGTTCGGAGTATTATATAATCAGATATTTTAACCATTATATTTTAGCTTTTTCCATGTTAATGTTGAGCCATAGTGAACTATAGATGTGTTTTTTCTTTCATTATTTTTAAACTCACTCATTTTTTAAGTTTTATCTCTTAACCAAAAGTTTTACCTTTATTTACTTGTAGACCCACACACTTTCTAGATCACCTTGGATCTAACATAATTAAAAGAATTAATTTTAAACTATTGTATATTAGTATTTTTCAATCATTGTAAGATGATATATCTTGCTTTAACTTGCTATTTTATTTGAAAGTATTAGGTGTACAATACACTTTTTGGCCAAATAATTAAACTATATTTTTTTATTGTTATCACGCGAATGTCGCGGCAACGCGCGAGTTAATTGTGCTCATTTGTCCTTATCCTCCCACACATTTTCTCCAGTCCCCTTCTCTCAAATCATTTGACACATACAACCTGATGAAAATAAAAATTAAAAAACAAATAATAAGACATTTAAGTACGTGAATTCAAATTTTATTCTCATGCCATGCCACACAATCTAGAATATTCTAGGCAAAAGAAAATAAAACAAAAGAAAAATGAAATTATCTCTCTTGTAAAATTACAATAAGAGATATTATTATAGATGTTATAAGAGATATAAATACAAAATAATAAGTTTACTTTCTAAAAAAATTTAGATATATGTCAACGCAAAATATAACAATTAAAAAATTGATTATAATCAATTTTAATCAACCTTTTTTTATTTTAATGGCAGAGTTTTATGAAGCAACTCTTTATAATTTTTTAATATTATTAGAAAAATGGTAAATATTTGAATTGATATTTAATAGACAAATATCATATTTCTTTTACTCTAATAACGGGGTCTCAAATTCAAATTTATTAGAATATTACATGATTTCATTTTTCAAAATTAAAAAATAGATCAAATTGTGAGGTATTTAAATGCAATTAACCCTTTTAATATAAAATTTAGGATAAATAAATTCAATATCTATTACACATGCATTTGCATGTGCTAATGCTAGTAATATATTGAATTTATTGTTATATAATATATTGTGTATGTGCGCGTGCGCGTGTATATATATTGAGTGGTGTTAGGGGCACACCCTAAACCACACCTCCCCTCTCATTCGCTACAGTACTCCGGGCCCCACATGAGTTTTTAAATTTTAAAAACTCATGTGGGGCCCGGAGTACTGTAGCGAATGAGAGGGGGAAGTGTGGTTGGAGGTGTGACTTGGGGTATGCCCCTAACATTTCTAATATATATTAGTGCGTACTCTAAGGGGCTGTTTGGTTGGTTTCCTAAAAACCAAGAATAGGAAATGGGAGCATGGAAATCTCCCATTTCCTATTTTCAACCATTTCCATCTCTAAAACTTACCCCAACATTCAATAAAATATTATTTATCATCCAACTCATCTAATAAAATATCATTTTATCATCTAACTCATCCAATAAAATATTACTTTTATCATCCAACATCTAATAAATTATTATTTTTATCATCACATCATCCAACTCATCTCATCTCATCTCATCTCATATTTAAAAATCAATCACATCATCCAATAATATGGTGACAACTCATCTCATCTCCTTTAACTTTCATCTCCACCCATTTCCTCCAAAAAAAACAAGGAAATTGATTTCCTTAAGTGTGGGTCACATCATCCAATAATATAATGACAACTCATCTCATCTCATCTCCTATTTTTAAGAATGAACCAAACACAAGAGAAAAACCTATTATAAGAAATAGGTTTCCTATTCTTTGATTTCCTTCTTTTTTAACCAATCAAACAACCTCAAAACAACTTTTTTTTAAAAAATCACTCACATTATCCAATAATATTGTGACAACTCATCTCATCTCATCTCCTATTATTTAATTTTCTTCTTTTTTTAACCAACCAAACAACTATAAAACATTTTTTTAAGGAAATAGGTTTCCTATTCCTTGATTTCCTTCTTTTTTTTGGCAAGCAAACAGCCCCTAAGAAAACCAAATACTTTAATCTCTCCAGAGCTTTTCACGTTAGCATCTTCCTTCATCTAATATTTTGACAAGTGGCATCCTCATCTAGCTGCTCGTTGAAATCTAAACACACTAAAAAAATAGCATGCCATATTATTTATTTATAGAGTTTTAAATTAAGGATAATTTAACATTTATTAACATATATGGTGAAAAATCATAAATATTTTTAATTTGAATTCTCTCTATATTTTGAGATATCAAATCACCCAAAAAATTAAGTATATATAATAAAATTGTTTACAAAGCGTTATTTTTCCTAAATCATAGGTAGCCATTTTATGAATAATCTTTAAAAAATTGACTAGTTAAGTTATTAATTGAATTTTTATAATTATCTTCTTTTTAAATAGTTTTTTTACTATATTAGTTGAGATAGGACCTTGATTGTGGAAGAAATAAAGAATAAAAGTCTTAAAAACATTACTGCAAG